GCCTTAAGACATTACTTGAAACCTTTTTGATGCTCCTACGTGATCCCTGGCCTAACAGGGCAGAGGTACTCCAGAAGAGATAAAGGTTCACCCTGATAGTGCTGGCTTCAGCATTATGGCCCTGATCCTACACCCTTCTGAGTCAATGGAAGGCTCCCATTGACTTATTGTTGAACCAAGAGGTGATCACTTATACATAAGAAGAAGAGAATTAATGAATTCTTGCTTGCTTCCTGCTTCTCTTAAAAGAGAGGCTTGCAAAGATCCTAACAAAAAGAAGAACAGGAGTACTTGTGGCACCTTAGAGACTAACAAATTTATTAGAGCATAAGCTTTCGTGGACTACAGCCCACTTTGCGGATACAGACTAACACGGCTGTTACTCTGAAAGATCCTAACCTTATTTAATTTTCTAATTATAAAATATTTGTATACTTTATAGACTGTGGGTAAAATTTTCAAAAGCACCTACATGACTTGCAATCAGGATGGATAAAAATCAATTATTTTTATTTTTTTATTTAAATCGGATCTTTTATATTTAAATTGGATTTTTTTGATAAAATGCTTTTTGAGGAAAAAACCTATCTAAAGATAGATACATTATAGCTCAAAGATATCTCAACATGGAATATGGATTATAAATTCTAATTATAATGAATGGAGATATCCCATCTCCTAGAACTGGAAGGGACCTTGAAAGGTCATCGAGTCCAGCCCCCTGCCTTCACTAGCAGGACCAAGTACTGATTTTTGCCACAGTTCCCTAAGTGGCCCCCTCAAGGATTGAGCTCACAACCCTGGGTTTAGCAGGCCAATGCTCAAACCACTGAGCTATCCCTCCCCCCATATAATATAATTCTATAGTGTGAGACAATATATTCATGTAATGTTTAAGAAAAGTTTTGTAAAGGAGTTCCAATAATTCATGGATTAGGGATCCAATCTTATGGGGCTCCAAAGGCTTCTGTATAGATGACTTAGGTTAATCTTTCTATCTACCCAATGGGTCTGTCAAGAAGATACCATCAGAGATGCTTAGTTTTGCAGTTCTCAAACTGTGGATTTGTGTCTCCAGAGATAACATGCTTGTTAACAGCAAAAATGTTTTTAAATCAATAAATAATATATAGAGGTGAGAAATAACAGATATCAACCCTATTGTCCCTATGTAAATTTATGTACACAGAGTCAATCCCTTACCTCTCTCTAAAAGTACAAAGTTTCAAAAAGTTCAGTGAATAGAAGACTGTTGGGGGCGGAATAGATCTGGACAAGGAGAAGAAGTCTGGAGATAAATGTGAGAAGCATGGGATAGGCAGTAGAAACAAAAGTGAAACTGTTTGAGCAGCGTATTCCAGAAGTCTTGAGGTCTTTCTGAGTATAGCCTTCATTGATTTGAGATCTACCATACCATTCTCTCACTAGAAGGGAAAACCTATAATGGCAGCAGGCAGGGTAAAAGAGACCCTCTACCTGTGGGTAAGACAGGCATGTGTGCAAAATGCAAACAGTGCAACAAAGAAATGCAAGGCCTGGTTGCCTGAATGAAACAACATCATGAGAAGTGTTCCTTCTCAGGAAGAAGCTGCGTTGAAGATGATGAAAGGAACATGTCTGAACATGCAGGATCTTCAGGTTGGTAAACTTTTTTTATTTCCTACTTCTTTCTTAATGACTGCCTGTCTTCCTTCTGGACTATTCTTGAATTCTCATGTTTGAGCAAAAAATATAGTTGTTACTCTATGGTACTATCATTTTAGATGCAGTTGTGATAAAAAATCAATAGCTGAAATAGGCAGATCTTCCTTTTACAATTTCACCTTTAAAGTAGTACTGTCAGTGAATGCAATGAGTAATACTAAATGAGCAGTATATTAATAATAATTAAATTACCTTATTTTGTTTAGGAGACTCCATCCTCAACATACAGGATTCTGAAGACAATCTACCTTCAAGATCACCATCATTTTCTATAGTTTCAGAGTTATCTGCCAATGATAGTGTTTCAGTCACATCATGTATATCACACAGCCACAGTATATCAGCTGTAGCAAAAAGAAGAAAAAAACATAGATAATTTGTGATAAGAACCAGCAGATTACAAAAAAAGATAATTGATGAAAAAATTGCCCGGTTTGTTTATGCAACAAAGTCTCCTTTCTGTATGATTGAGAACCCACACCTCATTAACATGGTTCAGTCATTAAGACCAGGATACAGTCCACCCAACAGAGCAGATGTCACAGGCAAATTGCTGGATAAAGTGTATGAAAGAGAAATTGAACAGTGTGCCAAAGGTCTAGAGGGTAAAATTGTTAACCTGAGTCTTGGTGGGTGGAGCAATGTCCACAATGATCCTGTTGTATGTGCTTGTGTGACAATAGAAGAGGGAATGTCTTCCTTACAGAAACAATTGATACATCAGGAAATGCACACACAGCAGAATATTTACAAGAAGTAGCAGTAAAAGCTATAACAAACTGAAAAAAAAATTCAAAGGTCTAGTACGCAGCTTGGTCACAGACAATGCTGCAAATGTATCCAAGATAAGAAGAAATTATTTAGAAGAGAGTGAAGAGAGTTCCAAGCTAATAACATATGGTTGCAGTGTTCATTTGATGCATCTCCTAGCCAAAGACTTCAGTGTTCCCGAAATAAAGGCTAATGTTGTTGAAATTGCAAAATACTTCCGTAACAACCACTTTTTGCTCTGAAAAAAGTGAGAGGAACCAAGCTAACTCTCCCACAAGATGTGCACTGGAACTCAGTAGTGGACTGTTTTGAGCACTATGTCAATAACTGGCCTAACCTGATAACAGTTTGTGAACAAAATCGTGAAAAAATAGATTGCACTGTCACAGCCAAAATTTCTCAAAATTGGGCTTAAGAGAAATGTTGAACACTTGCTGAGTACCCTGAAGCCTATTTCTGTAGCCTTGAACAAAATGCAGGGAAATAGCTGTTTTATTGCTGATGCTGTTGAAATTTGGAAGGAACTGAGTGAGATCTTAAAAAGAGAAATCTGCAATGACCGAGTTAAACTACAAGCATTAAAAAAAACTAATGGGACAAGCACTATCTCTAGCTCATTTTCTTGCAAATATTCTCAATACTCGGTCCCAGCATCAAACCTTAACTGCTGAAGAAAAGGAGTTGGCTATGACATGGACATCCAGCAATCATCCCTCCATAATGCTGTCACGTTATTGATTTGAACTGGGACCATATATAAAATGGTTGCAACCAAAGTCCTGTAGTGGCACCAAATCTTGTATAAAGGGGGTTTGCTACAAACAGAAGCTCTACACAAAGGACTGATGACCCATCCCAGCTGGGGATGTATTCCAGAGACTTGATTTTGAACTTGCAGTTTATTTCATCACTGCTACAAGCCTGAACCAAGAACTTTGCCATTACTGTATGTAATTGATTCCATTTAACCAAGTTTAGCTCTCATCTCTATCTTTTTCTTTTTGTGAATAAACCTTTAGATTTTAGATTCTAAAGGATTGGCAACAGCGTGATTTGTGGGTAAGATCTAATTTGTATATTGACCTGGGTCTGGGGCTTGGTCCTCTGGGATCAGGAGAACCTTTTATTGGGGTATTGGTTTTCATAACCATTTGTCCCCATAACGAGTGGCACTGGTGGTGATACTGGGAAACTGGAGTGTCTAAGGGAATTGCTTGTGTGACTTGTGGTTAGCCAGTGGGGTGAGACCAAAGTCCTCTTTGTCTGGCTGGTTTGGTTTGCCTTAGAGGTGGAAAAACCCCAGCCTTGGGCTGTAATTGCCCTGTTTGAGCAATTTGTCCTGAATTGGCACTTTTAGTTGGGTCCCGCCAGAACCAGCATCGTTACAAATGCCAACTATAATAAACTTCAGAGCTAAGGGTGAAGCATTCAAGAAATATGTTTGATGATGATGCTTTTAAAGAAAGTCACACCAGTGAATTGGTGGAAGTCACTTAAGCACTTGGATTCAGACACTGTTGAAGCTATAATCTTACTTTTAACAGCAGTAGCTTCTTCTGTTGGTGTAGAAAGAATATTTTCTTCCTTTGGACGAATTCATTCCAAATTGAGAAATTGTTTGGGACTTGAAAAAGCAGGAAAGCTTGTTTTTCTATTCCAAATTATGAACAAACAGGAAAATGAAGGTGAAGATGACTGAGTTAGCTGCAGAAGCCAACATTTTAAGTTTCTCATGTTGACCTGGCTGACATAGTCGATGTAATTTTTTTTAAATTTCATTTAACTATTTTAGTTAAAAACAAAAACAAAACAAAAACAATAAAAACAGCTAAAAACGAACCTGATAATAAAAAAAAACTTGAATTTTTAACTAAATTCAAAAATTCATGTGCTTGTTTTGTTAAAATATTATATGTTTGCTGTTGAAGAAAAAAATCCAGAATACATAATGTTGTTGTTTTAGTTAACTAAAACTATTTAAATGTCTGTCTGGTGATGTTCTCCTCCTAATACAGCATGGCAAGAAAATCCTCCAAATATTAATGATCAACCTGTTGAATTGGAAATAGTTCACCTCCCAATGACTTCATAAATATCTGCTTCAATTACCTTTTGGTAAATGAAATTACCAAACAATCATTCAATTTCTGATATAGCTGTAAAACTAATCTGAAAAGTTTTCAGAAGAAATCACTTAAAAATGTATAGTGTGTACCTTCTAAAAATGAAACCCACATCTATCTCTGAATTGTGAAAAACATGTAGTAAGGTAATAACAACCAACAAGAATGCACTTTTATGTAGAAATCCATGATTAAATCCATGATTAGTCTTTCCGGACTAGTGATTTAAATCCTGATTTAAATCAATTTGATTTAAATCAAATCCACCCTGCCTTGCAATATCAGACACTTACTTGTTTTTATATTTTGAAGTTTGTTTTGGGTGCAGTTGTATAAGCTGTACCTTAATGCCATTAAATGAATGCAGAATGAATAACGTTTACTATGTCATTTATTTGACAGATCTGTTTGAACTTTGGAAATGGACTTCACGTAGAGGTAGGCAATGGCTGAGAAATAAATACAATGTCCATGTGTAGAAAAGGTTTTCTGAGCAAACAGTAAACAAGAAAAAAACACTTTACTTATAACTAGTAAATAGCTTGAGTTGCTTTGATGTAGACACAACACAAAAGTCAGTATATCTACTGCTTACTGCAGAAATATAGTTGAATAGGCCCAGTCCTAAACCCATCAACATTAATGCTATTTTCCATTGGGAGAAAACTTCCCTAGAATATTATGGTTGTGATTAATCAACTGAGAGATTCTCTGAGTTAATGGTATTAAGGTGGCTGGTATCAAGGTGAGATTCACAAGGGGGACTTAGGCACTTCACCACCACCACCACCATCTTTTGTGCAGTTTTAGTTATGCATAGAGCATTCCTACTGCACTGGGCCCCGAAAGCACGACAATGAAGGAATACCTAGTCTCAGAGTCCCACTGGGGCTTAGGCACGAGTAAGGAACCAAACTGCTCAGCAGTGTCAAGTTAGGGAGCTGCCTTCATGCTCAGCAACCAAAATTTAGGCACCTCTGGGATTTTAATGGAGGAAACTTGGGTGCCATGGGAGTTTAAGCACCTCCAGGAATAGGCAGTAGCTAAGCAGTGGTTTTGTGAATGCCAGTGGTGTCTGTATGTTGAATTTAGGCATCAAGCTGCCATTTTAGGACCTAAGACTCCGTCATGAATCCCACCCCAGATCTGAATCTGGATACTGAGAGCCACTGCACTGAGTAAGCCAAGCAGTGGGACAAAACAGGTGGGTCTCCATGGGAAAGAGGATAAGATAGTGGAAGCAAGTAGTTCACAAGTCTCTGAGTTTGACAAGATTACGGCATACGGGTGACAAAGAGCGAGTGGGAGGATGAATGTGGAGGGCTCTGGCTCTATGGACAAGGTGGAAGGAGCAGCAAAAGAGAGAAGATGGAGGTTGTTTGATGGGGGTTGAGAGGAAGGTCAAACAGGAAAATGTGAGAGGACTCTGAGATCTTTAAAATAGACTGCATAGATAACTTTCTCCTCTGGTCTGATAGCCACCACTTTAATTCACAACCATTCTGAGAGATTTGACTAATTCCCAGTGGTCTCATAATTTATATTTATTTATTTTAAACCTGGCCTTTTTAAGTAAGCATTTAAAAGAAAAAGACATATTTCTTTCTTACGTGGGTTTTCAGGGAAGAGTCTGACCCTTATGATTAAAATAAACCATACTTATTAGGAAAAAAAATCTAGGGTAGAAACAGAGTGTAAATTTAAACAATCAGCCTGTTTAATTAAAATTACATGCAGAAAATGACATCCAGAAGTTCTAGACACAGCAGTGGTCAGTTGAGAAAAGTATTAGTGTTTAATGGCTAAAATGTAATGTTGAAATTTAAACCTGCTTTTTTTTATAGGTTTTTAATCAAGCTGCCAAAAATGACCATCTGTCTAATCAGAATAGTAAAATCAGACAAAAGCGGGAATGGATTGTTCCACCTGCTAGAGTTTTGGAAGAGGATGACAGTGTGACGAGAAAACCAATTGCTAAAGTAAGTCAGAGAACAGCTGAAACACAGTAAGATGGGAAACATTATTGAAAGTACATTGTTGCATGTAAAATATGGCTGGGGCCTACTCTAAACACACAAACCGTTAAGAACACCCTCCAATTCTTTAAGCCAGCAATTTAAAGAAAATATTACCTTGGCAATGATCCCAACAATGGTATTTTGAGCATGAATGCTTTGCAGGATTAGGCCAACAGTAACTGTTGCTCTTATTATGCCTTACAAAATTGGGGTTTTCTTCACCAATGTATCTGTTCAACAATGAATAATATGTAATAAATAACTAAAAATCAAACAAATGTAACAGTTGCTGTAGGTTCTACACAACATATGAACAACTTTATTTGTGCGGTACTTAGTATATGTGTCAAGTTCCTGTATTTTACAGTGTTTCTTTGAATGTTTCGGTTTTTTGTTTTTTTTTTTAGAAAAGGTGTCTGTGGACACTGCTTAATGTTGGTTGTCCTTAATTTGCCCCTCCTGCCTTCTGTGTATGCATTATGATACAGTATTTAATTACATGATCAAATAGTATGTTTTTCCACATGACCCTGCCTCATTCGGTGCACAGGAAGGATGGTGCTTTATTAATGAACTCTGTGTGTGTGTGTGTGTGTGTGTCTCCATTATTAAATATGTGGCCTCAGGTCTTATTTACTGCACATTGTTCAAACTCTGTTCTGAAGAAGGAATTTTTAATTTTCCTTTGGACTTTTATATGGTGCTCATCACTAGAGTATCTGAGAGCTTCACAAACATTAATCTATCTTCATAACACTCTGTGTGGAGGGGTGATATCCCCATTTTACAGATGGGCTGCAGAGGCACGGAGAGATTAAAATCAAAAGTATTCATTATTTTGGGTGCTCCACTTAAGAACATAAGAATGGCCATAGTGGGTCAGACCAAAGGTCCATCTAGCCCAGCATCCTGTCTACCGACAGTGGCCAATGCCAGATGCCCCAGAGGGAGTGAACCTAACAGGTAATGATCAAGTGATCTCTCTCCTGCCATCCATCTCCATCCTCTGACAAACAGAGGCTAGGGACACCATTCCTTACCCATCCTGGCTAATAGCCATTAATGGAATGAATTTATCTAGTTCTCTTTTAAACCCTGATAGTCCTAGCCTTCACAACCTCCTCAGGCAAGGAGTTTCACAGGTTGACTGTGTGCTGTGTGAAGAAGAACTTACTTTTATTTGTTTTAAACCTGCTGCCCATTAATTTCATTTGGTGGCCCCTAGTTCTTATATTATGGGAACAAATAAATAACTTTTCCTTATTCACTTTCTCCACACCACTCATGATGAATAAGATGTGTAAGACCTAATTTTTCAGAGTACTTAGTATTATATAGCAACCAACTCCTATTGACTTCAGTTACAGCTGACAGTGCTCAGCACTACTGCAAATCAGAACCCACAGTGTCAAGTTGGGCACCCAGAAAATGAGGAATGCACAGTTAGTGACCACGAGTGGAAAAACTTGTTTTAAGTGGTCCGGTGGAAAAAATATCACGTAATTAAATACTGTCATAATGCATACACTCGGGGAGCATTTCCTGACTTCTGAGTGCTTGACTTTGCAGCCTTAACATGTAATATCTTAGGTTTTTAAAAAAGCAAACATCAGAAACAGAAATTCCATCATGTGGTATAATGACAACAGCAGGATTGGAATCTTTAGATTCACTGTGCAGTTCTCTGGCACTTGAGCTAAAGGAGTAACTGATAGCAATAATAGTTTTTCATCCTTTGTGTGGATCAGAACTACAAGGGAATGAAACGCACATTTGACAGTGGCATTCACAGATATTTGCTGACAGCAGAGGACTGGTGAGATTCATCAATCTTGGATTCCATTTTGGTCTCTCAAGGGAGGTGTGCTGTGGTGAATGTAGACCCTTCTTGTTTCCTTCCCTCCCCACTTCTGTCCTGTCTAATCAAACTTGTCTCTCTTTCCCACCCCAACCATGTCCTTATCCCAGTCTCCACTTATCAGGTTTCGCATCCCAATCTCTTTGTTCAATCACTTTTGTCTCCCACTCCAGGCTCCCCATCTGAGTCCCAGGCTCCACCTCTCCTCCCAGTCTCAGTCATCTTGCCCAGCCAGTCCTAGACCTTCCCCAGTTTCCTAGTTTTTCATCTGATCTAAGTGTCCCCCCCCCCCCATGCACACCAACTGGCTTCCAGTCATCCCCTCACCAGCTCTGTCTCCTTGACCAAGCAGGCCCAGTCCCCCTGCCTCCTCCCCCCACACCCAGGCTCCCTGTCTAGCCAGTCCCCAGCCTCTCCTTCCCCACAACTTCTAGTCAGAGTTTCATTCCCTCACCCATGCCAGTCTCATCAGTTCCTTGTTCTGATCTACTCCATTCCCTCCCCATTGGGTCTGGCATTTGAATTAGGCAGCTTCCTCCATCATGCTTCCTCAGTGCCAGCAGGGGATGGTCATTGAAAGCCAGGTTCTCTTCTCTCAGTTACAGTGCCCGGCATGATCCCAGCCCAGAGTATTAATTACAAGGGAAGTCTGACTTTGCCCTTTTAGCGCTGGGCTACCAGAGCATGCTCAGTCATTCTGTGGTGATGGCACATGATAATACTCCACCATACATAGGAACCGTGAGGGGATGAAGCATGCTCATTAAGTCTGGAATCTTCAGAAGATTCAGCTACTAAACTCTAAGAAGTGTCTACTGAGCATGGGCATGAACTGATATTTTTCAAAGGCTTTTCACTTGGCCAAATTCGGACAGTTTTTCATAAGAACTGAAAAAGGCATATTCTTGACATAAAAACAACTCTTCATACCAAATTTTATGCCCCTGGTCCGTAGCATGAGGGCACGAGATCCATTCAAAAATAGATCCTTAGAACATTTTAAATATTGCAAAATATTTTTCCCAACCATGTTCTCAGAAATGGCTGAACTGTTTTGGCTGAAACTTTTAAAAAAAATTCAACCTGATGAAAACACCCAACATGGAGAATTTTAGCCAAATGGTTTAAGTCTGGCAAAGCTATAAGCAATTGAAAAGAGGATCTTCTAATAGGAAGTGTTGGGCAATCTTAATAATAGGCAATGATGGCAATTAATTTGTAAAGTTGTCAGCCCTGCCTATAATGACATAAAGCAAAAGTTTTAGGACCAGATTGTATAATTTGCATTGTAGGTACAGCTCTGAGAAGGATTATGTCTCAGGCCTGGTCTACACTGGGGGGCAAGCGAGCTAAGTCGGTCTAAGTTACGCAACTTCAGCTACGAAAATAATGTAGCTGAAATCGACATACTTAGAGCTACTTACTGCGGTGTCTTCACTGCGGTAAGTCAACTGCTGACGCTCCCCAGTCGACTCCGCCTGCGCTTCTCACTCCGGTGGAGTACCAGAGTTGACAGGAGTGCGCTTGGCGGTCGATTTATCGCGTCTTCACTAGATGCGATAAATCGACCCCCTGCTGGATCAGGCGCTCCGAAGGTAAGGGTAGACATGCCCTCAGGAGGCTCCCAGAGACACAGCAAAGTGCACAAAATTGCTACGTTCCTAATGATGGTACAGTACATTCACTGTGGCATACCCAGTTAGTTCTGAGAGTCACTACAGAGTGGTGGGAGAGGCCGTGATTCTCCTCTTCCACACCCCTTTTGGAGTGGTTTGTGCTTCTCAGGTTTTGTAGGAAGGAATAGTACCTGCACTCTGTCCTTGCACAGGACATGTGGGGTTCCAGCCTCTTGCATCCTTCACTGCCTCTTTGCACCCAAAGAAAGGCCAGGCAAAAGCTAGACCTTAATTTTGTAGTTGCTCATATTTTTACAATAAATAACTAGCATCTTTTCTTGTCCTTTTTAAACATTTTTTTTCCTGAAAATTAAAGAGAATGCACCATAGCTTCCTTTACATAGTTGGGGCATGTACTATAACTTGCTTGTTGTCCATAGGATGTTTATATATGTTTTTTAAAGAACTTCCATTTACTGAGTGCAATTAACTCTGTTAATTCCTGTTGTGTTCCTGTTAGATAACTTCTGATCATGCATACGAGCTAGGGGTGGTAATTACTTACACAATTTCTGGCCAGGGAGTGACAGAACCACCTTATGGATTGTTTGTTATCAATGGAAAAACTGGAGAACTGAGCATAACAAAAAGAGTTGACCGAGAAAAAACTCCAATGTTCTTGGTAAGTTGAATTAGTGGGCTATAACTTTCTTTTTTCTATATGTGCTCTCTTTTTAACTTTTCAAATTAATTGCCATCTCTTTGTTTTAATGTCTCTTGACTTTTTCTCCAATGCAAAGTGATAATTTAACAATTTATATCAATGGGGATATTCCTATTTTCCTGTTATTTATTTGTCTATTTCAGGTTAGAGGTCATGCACTTGATCAGAATGGGAGAAAAATGGAAGAGCCAATAGACCTGACAATTCAAGTTGATGATATAAATGACAATTACCCAGTGTTTTCAGAGAAAGTTTTTATTGGCTCTGTTGAAGAGTTAAGTGAATCAGGTAAAAGACTATTTTTCTAATTGTATTAACATATTAAATAATGGTGCTATGTGGTCACTTAACCCCTCCTGCCATTACTTTTTTTATAACAGTCCTGTATGGTATGCTTTTCACCACTTCCTAACTAGAGCAGTATATTTGGTTTTACTTATTCTCTCAGGAAAAAGACTCTTGAAAGTAAACAGACACAAACTTTTTAGTGACAGTTAGGGTTGCATCAGGACACACCCCATCAACTCAAAACCTGAAAAGCATGGAAATAATTTAAAGGAAAAGTCTCCTGCATTCCTTATCACTTCATATAGCCCATAGCACTCTTAACACTACATAAGGCTTTCATGTCCACCTCCAACAGATACTGAAAAGCAATAGGGACTTTTGCTTCATTAGGCCTGCAGCATGATACAAAATGTTTATCATGACCCCAGACACTTTTGTATCAGCAGATACAAGCACTGTCACGATGTCTAGAGTGGTTCACGATTCTGAGTGCCAATCTCAGGGCAGACTGTCAAAAAGCAGGCAGACACCCCAAAGGGGTTATATGTTCTATAATTAGATTTCACCAGCTCAGTAACAGATGTGAACTCCTGAAACACTGTAACAGCCTTACCATAGAGTTACAGACACTCCAGTCTATTTTGCCATCCAGGCAAGCTGGATGGATTGATACTTCGTTGCTATACACCAAAGATCACAAAAGATTCAGGTTGCTTCCAGTCCTAAGAGACCAGTCACTTACTCCAGGTCAATTTGTACCTTAGATCTCACACTAAAGACAATGTTTGTAGCTGATTCTGTAGTAAACTAACTAAGGATTTATTAGCTAGGAAAAAAGAAATGGGAGAGTTATTTACAGGTTAAAGCAGGCATCATGTATACACAAATGAGTTACAGTCTATGGTTCCAATAGGTGACAGAGTTGTAATCTGTTAGCACTGAATGTCTTTTAGGGCTAATCCAGGTTAGCCCTAGAGATCTCTGCTTTTGTTTCCTAGCTCCAGCCCTGTGAGAGTCCAAACAGCAAAGAGATGAAGAATTTTTTATGTCAAATATGTTTATTTCCTTCTTCCAAAATTCAAGGTGATGGGATGATCTTTCTTGCACATAGCACCTTCATGGGTGTAAGAGTGCCATTAGCCCTGTCTTTGTATCACAATATTCCACAATGGCACACTTAGTTTTGATAGTCCTTCTCGATGGGCAGGGAACCCCCTCCTTCTGCCTGGGTTCACAAGTTCAGAGCAGGCATTTTTACAGTTATAAAGTAAAAATTACATATTAACTTGTAGCATGTGATAAAGATGTTACAAGTAAAATTAATAATGCATGCTGCAACTTACAAGTATTTTATAGAGTCTAAATGCTAAACACATCCTTAAAAGTCTAGCATCTATCTTGAACAATACTAACATACAGGTGAGCCGGTATGGTTTCCAGCTAAGAATTTGTCAGTGCTCACCTGATGCCTAGAGCATTGGCCAGAGCTGATACCTGGTCTACCAGCATCACAGGCACATTTGATCCATTGAGAAGTTACTCTGCCATAACATTGCTAAGGTCACCGCAATGCTGTCCAGGGACTCTGCGATCTACCATAATAATAATAATTAATGTTAAATAGTAAGTAGCATTGAATGAGGCCACTTGCTTGAGATGTTGAGAAATTCCAGGTCTATAAAATGTGTGAAGTGGAAAAGAGAGACATAGCATTGGAAGAATGGAGAAAGCAGCCTCCTCGTTTCTAAATGACACCCATCACAGATCTGTACTTCCACTTAGGAACAATTTTGCTAGGATCAAACTGACACATGAAAATGTGGGCTGGGGGAAGGCCTCAGGATATTCAAGTGGTGATTTGGGAGGGTGGCTGCAGAGCAGGTAAGCAGGGGAACTCCAGGCACCCCTGTGATGCTGCAGCTGGACTCTTCATGAGCATTGCATAGCCTAGCATATACAACTGGGCAAGTAGGTCACTGAGTCTGAGATTGCCCATATCCAGTGATCACAAAACCCTATAAGGAGTGTGCAGGGATTGCAGCCCATTCCAATTCAGCTTTCAGGAGTGTATCACATATCCTCATTCCCATTTCAGTTCATCAGGCAAAGCATATTCACTTGCATGTTTAACTGCAGGTTAGAGAGGAATATTTCACCCCTACCAATTGCTGGCCTCATCCAAAGCCCATTGAAGTCAATTACAGTCTGTCTGTTGACTTCAGTGTTTTCAGATCAGGCTTCTGGGAGGTGAAAACATCCTGTTGTCAGTAGTTAAGAAAAGAGTGTTTTGGGAAAACAGTTTGATAAATCCTTTACACTGTATCCTTTTCAGCCTGATGGTGATCATAAGGAAGAGGTTATTGAGGGTCTGCTCTTGTGAGGTGCTGAGCTCCCTCAATTCAAATGGGAGCTGTTTAGTGATCAGCTTTGAAAATCAGGTAGGATTCAGACAAAATTAGATATAGACTTAAGTGTCTAACTGGATACCCCAGTTTGAACTAAGATCCGCCTTCTTCAAAAGCACAGACTCCTGACACTTGAGCTAAAAGAGACTTTCCATCATATGCTAGCAGTATAAAGCCTATGATATATAAATGAGTAGTTCTGACTATGTATGTGTGCCACTGACATCAGAGGGCAGTGGCACACATACATAATGGTCAAAGGACTGTTTTCAACAGGCAACCTGTTTTAGAGAGTCAGGCATGGGAGATAGGGCAGATGATTTAAATGGACTTTTTTGTCTCTGTTTTCTGTTTGTATTAAATTATACCCATGCAGTTTCTATCATTTTTTAAAAACTTTTAGTTAAAGGCCACCCATATTAGGCCATTTGTCTTTTCTGATCTACTGAGGCTTTAGTACAGAGGTGGGCAAACTACAGCCTGCGGGCTACATCTGTCCCGCGAGACCCTCATGCCCGGCCCCTGAGCTCCTGGCCCGGAAGGCTACTCTGGCCCCTCCCCTGCTGTCCTCCCTCCCCCGCAGCCTCAGTGCACCGCACTGCCAGCGCAACACTCTAGGCTGCCAGGCAGCACAGTTGCAGAGCCGTAGCCTGCGGTTCTCTGTGCTGCATGGTAAGGGGGCAGGGAGCAGGGGGGGTTGGATAGAGGTCAGGGGAGTTCGGGGTGGTGGTCAGGGAGTGGGGATGTGGATAGGGGTCGGGGTGGTCAGAGGGCGGGGAACAGGGGTCAGATGGGGAAGGGGTCCCGGAGGGGCAATCAGGAATGGGGGGGGAGGGTTTGGATTGGGTGGCAGGGTGCAGTCATGGATGGAGGGGCCGGGGGTGGTCGGGGAGCAGGGGGTGGTGGATGGGGCAGGAGTCCTGGGAGGGATGACCGGGAACGGGGGGATTGGATGGGGCAGGAGTCCCGGGGGAGCCGTCAGGGGGTGAGAAGCTGGGGGGTTGGATAGGAGGCAGGGACCGGGCCACGCCTGGCTGTCTGGGGAGACACAGCCTCCCCTAACCGGCCGTCCATACAATTTTGGAAACCCAATGTGGCCCTCAGGCCAAAAAGTTTGTCTGCCCCTGTTTTAGTATGTATATCCATGATGTGCATTTGTTTGCTTGTACACACTATCTAATGACATTGTTGAAAGTGTTAAATAAACACTTCTCCAACTCTTAATAAAAGCAGTAATTAGAAGTACAACACAAAACAGTTAAGTGGTTCTGAAAACTCTCCATTTTGTATTCTATAAATGATACTTGCCAATACATAAACAAGGGCAATGTAAATCTATTTGGGTTTTTTGTTTTGTTTTTTTTAATTCTCAGGTACACTTGTGATGAGGATAAATGCAACCGATGCAGATGAGCCGAATAATCTAAATTCCAAAATTGCTTTCAAGATTCTTCAAAATTCTAATTCATTCAGTATTCTAAAAAACACCGGCGAGATTATAACATCAACATTATACCTTGACAGAGAGGTAAACTACACTCTTTTATATTGGCTCTTTCCCAGAGTTTTAACAACACTATATCAGCCCTCTTCCCTCATTGCTGCTTCGTCCTGTTTACTAGATGAGGACTGGATACATAGAGCTTCTGACCCACAACCTCCATCTCCATGGCCCTCCTGGAAGTGAAGGCATAGCCCTTTTCCTAGATCGGCTTTCTCCCTCTGTGTCTGCTCAGCTGTGCTGGCTGGTGCATTTTTTGGGGTTAAGAGTTAAGGCTCTGCTCACCCAGTCATCCTCAACTGCACAGGAGGGGAGTATTGGCCCAATAACAGCTTGTCTGTCCCCACTACATTGTTGCCCACAGTATGAGTAGCAATCACGGGGGCGCAAGGGGGTCTCCTTATTCCATCATGTGAGCAAACTGCAAGGATCACGATCTGATTCTGTAAGACTGCTGGTACATAGAGCTGGCCCTAGATTTTGTGGGTTTATATTACAAATTAAGACATGGATTGCCACAGGCAGACTTCTGTAACCCACTGTTAAAAACTGCATGTTAAGTGTTAGCAGCAACTTTATTGAACCTACTAACTTGTACGTAATGCTACATATTCTTATTGGCCTTATAGATGGAGCTCCTTCCATTAGCTATCTACATGTATACAAACCTGCTGTTTTTATAGAGCACTCTCATCACACCCACATTAGCATTCTGGTGGTGGGAGGATATGGCAGGAAAGTTTGTCATTAAGGGGATACACCCGTTGAAATGTTTTCAGCAGTTACAGAGGTGCTTATTGTTACTTGGCAGGAGTGTCAACAGGGGGTTCTTTAGCTATGAGGGATGGAGGACCTGTGAAATTTAGCCCCTCAGTTCATCTTTCAGGATACATTGAGGGGGTGATGGTGGTGGGTCAGTTGGTAGAAGTAGTCCTGGGTGATATTGGGAATTGATGTTGACAGAGTGACATTACCACCTACACTACAGGAAATGTTTTTGTCACCCAGTCTGCAACTCCACATGCCCTCCACGGGTGATAGAAAGCATGCGTGTACTAGCCATTTGCACTCGCTTTCACAGTGAATGTGTTCTTATTACAAAAACATAGTAAGTACAGCATGGTACAGTTGTGTGGGCCCAGATCCATAAAATAGACATAGGCATTGTGATGCTGAGCATCACGGTGCCTAATTTTTAGGCACCTAGAAAATCACAAGGACAGTAGTGAGATGCACAAAGCTAAGTGTCTAGACTCCTACACAATAAATAGGGAGAGAGAGGAATCTTAGAATGTGATCCGTAAAGCCAGCATGGGAAGTGGGCAGCCACTTAAGCTAGCCAATATAAGATGCTAAGCCCCTCCCCTCTCTGAGTTCAGTACCCAAGTCCAGACTGTAGAGAGATATCTAGCTTTGCTTGTGATTCACAAACCAGGGGCAGATTGGCATTCAACTGCCTACATCACGGGTATGGGCACCTCCCATATAACCTTTAACCCAGTGGTTAGGGTACTCGCTCGGGCTGTGAGAGACCCCCAGTCAAATCCCTCCCCCCCCCCCCCACTGCCTGATGAGGAGAAGGGATTTGAACAGGGATCTGCCATGTCTCTTAAGTGCCCTAATCACTAGGCTATAACGTGATTCTAATTCTCTCTGGCTCATTTAATGTTTAATTACTCAATTTATTTAATCTCTCTTATTGAAGTTCCACTTTGAGGAAGCCCCACATCAGAATATTCTGTAGGCCAGTGGTTAGAGAGCTCCCCTAATAGGTGGGAGACCCCTGTTCAATTCCCTTCACCTCATCAGGCAGAAGGGGGCTTGAATAGAGGGCCTCTCACATCCTGGATGAGTACCCTAACCACTGGACTAACGGTTATAAAGGAGGTTCTCCTCTTTTCCTTCCCCCATCTGTTTTGTGTGGGCTTTCGGCATGCCTACTGGATTGGGCCAAACGTACAATTCAGGCAGAAGAACATATGTATTTCCCCTCATCTGTGGATCACTTTGGGGCATAGGGGGGAGACAGGCACCTGGGTGCCTAGAATGAGGCAGCAGTGCACATACCCAGAGGGAAATAAGTAAACTATTAGTATAAATATTTACTAATTATTTCTGTAATCTGTGTGTAATAATGTAACAATAATTATTTTATCATATATAGTATACACTATAACTTTCCCTTTCCTCCAGGTATGGAGTGACCATTTTCTAGCCCCAGTTAAAGGACAATGATAAAATTCCCAAAGCCCTTTGTGCTGGAGTTGTTACTCTTGTTTCTTTTATGTTTCTCACATTCTTTCCATCCTCCATTTACTAAGTTATTTGGAAAAATGCTAAGGGGATTCCTGATCTCAGGACTCTGGTGGAACAACTCCGTTATCAGGATGGTTATGATGAATGGAATTTAATATTAATTAAACATACTGCCATAGTCAGCCATTCCATATCAAAGAAATAATAGAGATAATATACCAGAGCAAAAAATGTTTTATATAATTTTGTAATTGGTTTCTGTATAGATTTAAACACTTATTTTTGAATGTGACACAGAAACAAAGTAGTTACACTTTGACTGTAGAAGCAAGAGACAGAGATGGAAGCGAAATTGGGCTAGCTACAACCAGTACTGTGAAAATCAAGATTTTGGATGTCAATGACAATATGCCTGTTCTTGAAAGGGAGACAGTAAGTATGTTTGTTTGTTAACAGCCTCTGTGTGTTCCTATGTCTGGTAATAACAGATAATTTACTATCACCAGGCGCACAAAGGACTCATTTTGCCATAATGAAATACAGCAGACTTAACATTTTTTAAAAGGTCTATTGTTTGATTGCAGTATGAAGGCAGTGTTGAGGAAAACAGAGCAAATGTGGAAATTATGCGACTCCAAGTATCTGACAAAGATGAAAAATTCTCTGATAATTGGCTGGCAAACTTTACAATTGTCTCTGGGAATGAAGGGGGTTATTTCCGTATAGAGACAGATGCTCAAACAAATGAAGGAGTTTTGACTCTTGTGAAGGTAAGTGTATACTGTAGAGTGTCTTCTTTTTTTTTTTTTTTTTTTTATTT